TGTGATTCCCCATTCCGGAGTTGTTGGTGTAAGTTATGATGGAATACAATCTAGGGTTAACGCAGCTTGTCCCAAACGTTGTATGGTTGGTGATAACCTTTGCTATGTACAGCCGAGCTTGGAGGGTGTTGTTCCCAACTACAAACATCTTCAAATACTTCTATGTATTGAAGGCCGAGAGTGCAAGGGAGAAGGGATGGTATTACTTTACTGCCCGAGTGTCTACAAGGAGAATTAGGGGTTGTTTAGCGCTAGACCGTCTTCCATTAAAGGATGGAAAGATAAGTTCTTTTTTGTGGGTGACACCAGATCGACAAGACAGACATCGAGGTGGAGAACTTAAGTTGGTGGAAGGCAAAAGGGGCAAATCCATACAAGTACAGTCTAACCCCGAGGTAGTTGGAAGATGTGATGGTGTTGAAGAGGGGGGATGAAGATGTATTGGACATTATTAAATACACAAGTCAAAAGATGTTGGATGCCTCTGAGATCTATAGGCCAAGTTCACAGAGTGGAGGTGTGTTATTAAACTTTTGTAGTTTATTGAAGTGTTTTGATCAGTGTTTTAACTTTGTTTTGTTTTGCATGAGAGATGAACAAATTCTTGGATGTGGCTAGTGGAGCCAAAATTCCCAAGAAGAAAGGGAACATAATGAGTGTTGCTGCTGTGGAGGGACAAAGATGGTGAAAGCTCTGCATGTCATCCTGATGCTTAGGCTTTGGTCATTTCCCAGCTCGGAAATGTGGAGGGTGAGGTTATGACGAAGGCTAGGGAGGACGAGCCTGTTGCTACCAAAAGGAGAAGGGTAAAAAGACAACAACCAGAGTCTAGAGAGGAGATTGCGGAGTTCATCCCTCCACTTCCTCCTGTTGAAGCCGAGCCATCAGTTTGGGAAGCAGAGGTTGTACCTCAGGGCAGGGGGATGGGATATGTTCCTTTGCCAACATTGTGCTTCTATAAGGCTGGGATTAGAAGCACGCTGAAGAGGTTTATCAACACCTACTTCCCAAAAGTGGATCGTTAATGGACTAAGGATGAGGTGGTCATCCATGGGGGAGTAGGGGTGGTATGCCACGTCCTTGAGGTATGAGATTTGAACTTTGTTTGGGGTTTTTAGATGGGAGTCCTTTATTGTTTGTTATATTTTAACTTCATTCTATTATGTAGGTTGCGAATCTCGTCAACACATTGTTGAACGAGTTCTTTGAGAGCCTAAAAGAAAGAACTGAGGTGAATAAAGAAAATGCCAAGCTAGTCAAGAAAAACGAGGAGGCCGATCGAGAAAAGGTGAACTTGACCTCAAAGTTGAAGAAGCTTCGAGAATAGAACACTACTCTCAAAAAGGACTCAAAGAACTCATATCAAAAAAGGAAAATCTATGAGGACGAGTTCGACAAGAAAGAAAAGGAACTGGATGAAGTAAGGAAGGCAGCAACTAAGCTGAAGCTTCAAGTGCACAACTCTATTGAAGGGCATATAGCAGACAACATCGTCAACCTATACCGGCTCCCAATTGCAATTGTTACTTCTCTAATGGCCGAAAGAAGGTGAAGTTGCAGTATCCTATGGTCGATGTGACGAAAATCACTTTTGGGGATCAAGAGGAAGAGGTCGAAGAGAACGGGGAGAGCAGCATTATTGATTTCCATCTCGAGGTCGAACTAAAATGGGATTGAGACAATCAAGGTCAAGCCATTTTTTTGCTGAACTTTGATTTTAAGTTTGTGGTGGTGGATCACGAAGAGAGCGGAAATGTTGATAAGCCAGACTAACGTACTGAGTAGCTCCTTACTTCGTTCATTTAGATAGTTTTTGTAAACATTTATTTATTTATAAACAATTTGACCCATTTAATGAATTCAAATTTTAATATTTAGTGTTTTGATTATATTATTGGAATGTTGTTGAATTGAGAAAAATTGAAAGGTTAAAACGAAGCTCGTAAGTAAACTTAGACATGAGACAAATAATAAAATTGAATTCATCTCGGATTTGACAAGCATCATGATTGAACTAGGTTCTAAACCTTAAGGGTAGGGTAGAATTTCTAGAGATTGTTAACATTCTAGACCTTGGGTACCCTTTTGCCTTCAAAATCTTGAAGAATATAAGCCCTAAGGTGTGGGATCTCAACCACCGTGTATGGTCTTTCCCAATTCGATGCCAGCTTGCCGAAGTGGGTCTTAAACCCTATGATTCCGGCTTTTCCAAATACAAGGTCACTACTTTTGAAGCTTCGAGGTTGAACCTGCTCATTATAAAAGCTGGCTATCTTTTGCTTATATGCAAGTGTTCAAAGCCGAGCTTGCTCATAGACTTTGACTAAGAAATCAAGGTTGTTCCTCAATAGCTGTTCATTTTGAATTGCGTCAAAATGTCTAACTTTAAAGCTTGGGACACCAATTTCGACAGGAATAGCTACCTTGGTCCCAAAAGCCAAATGATAGGGCGTTTTGCCTATTTAAAGGAAATTATAGTTTTAGGCAAAATTGTCAATACCGTACCGGCATGCATACTGATTTTGCTACTAAAACGGTATGTATCGGATACTGAAATTTTTTGCATACCGTTTCGGATTTATCACTATAAATATTTATTTTTATAAATTAAATATCAAATTTTAAAATAATTATAAAAGAAACTAAAGTAATTGCAAACAAGATTTGAGAAAACCTTTTGAGCTAGAAAAAAAAAAAAGGCAATTGTCATCTATATTACAATCATAAAAACAAATACCCAAATGGGTTCATCACAAGGGTTCTTCAATTGTTTTTGCCAAGGGACAATTATGAACAAACAACAAAATTAATGTTACTAATTATCTTTAACATAATTATAAGGATCTTCATTTGGAGGAATTCCATAACTTGTAACTCCACCAACTCCAACCCAAAGTTATTCATTTTCTTCATTTTCAGGAACCTATGCGACATCTTCATCATCTTAAACAATACTATCAGTATCATTAACGTTTTGATATGGCAAAGACTCATCAATAGCTGTCAAATCCACATCATAATCATCTTTACCAAGAAGAGTTGGTTCCTTAGCCACCCAATCAACTAATATGTCAATATTTTCAAGATTAAGAGGATCCATTGCTTCTTTGCCCTTATAAATAATTCTATAAACAAACAAAAATCACAACTCATACTTTTTCAATTTCAATATAAAACATAAATGTGCATAAAATATATGCAAAAATAAAAAATCAAATTTATAAGATCAATTAATAAGTCAAAGATGGCAAAAAGAAAAAAGAAAAAGAAAGTTAAGTTATATGCAAAAACTAAAGCAACTATAACACTTTTAAGAGATTAAACATTTCTCAAAGCTTCAAATTATAACGAACAAACACAAAGGTATTCAACCTTTCATGCTCTAACCTATTCCTCTTCTTAGAATGAATAAAGTCAGAAGCACTCCAATTCCTTTCACATCTAGTTGCACTTGTGCATTGGCTAAGCACTCGAATCGCAAACTTTTGCAATTCTAGTGTATCAATTCCAAATTGATCCCAACATGCAACTATAAAAACAATAAAATACAATATGCATTAAAATAAATAGACTAAAAATTTTTAAAATAAAATGAAAAGAGAGTTAAGATGAAAGAAAATTACCTAGATTTAACTTTTCTCTCTGATGAATAGCCAAACTCATGCCAAAGGTCTTTGTTGCTTTTTTATACTCCTCAAGTTGTGAACTAATGAGATCTTACTTGTCTTCATCCGGTATCAATGTTGTTAAGGTATTAAGCAAATCTCTAGTAACAGCAGTTTGTTTGTTGAAAACTAGACCTAAAGTAGATACCTAGATTAAGAAAGCAACCAACTGCATGTAATGGGCTATAAAGTTGCTTATCCCATCTAGCATCAATCACATTAATGTAAGGCATGTATTGAGACAACCTATTCTTAAAATTCTTTTTAATTGTCTCCTTTGCCGTGTCTGTTGCCTCATACAAGTAGCCCATACTCAACTTCTCTTTATTGTCCACAAGTCAAAGGACTCTCACCAAAGGTTCACTAATTTTGACAAGCAATATGCAATTAGACCAAAATTCTCTATCTTCCAAGACAATTTCACATACTTCTTTCCCAACACTACTTCTTGCATAGCTAGAACCAATCCATGCATCACTTGTAAACATTTGTCTAAGCTCTTTTTTGAATTTCAATAAACATTGGATGCTCAAAAAGTAGGTAGCAAACCTTGTAACAACAAGACGACACAAATCTCTCCCATTTGTATAGTCTCTCTTCATCAATGCTAGCACCCATGAATGATTATATATAAACTTTGTAACTTTTCTTGCCTTTCCTATGGTAGTATCAATTATAGGAAAGTATCTTGCTTCAGAAAAATTTTTTAACATCAAGTCAATACAATGGGCAGCATAAGAAGATTGGAAAAATGTGTTGTACTTTGCTTCCAACCTTTTTCCAGAAACTTTGAATGAGGCATCATTGTTTGTTATAAATTGTACGACATTTTTCACTCTTACTTCTTTCACCACTTCATACATTCTATCCAATGTTTTAGCATTCTTTGTCAAACCAGAAGTCTCAATAGATTTCAAAAACATGCTTCCTCTAGGACAATAAACAAGGAAAATGATTATTGGTTGCTGTCTTTGATTTGACCATTCATCAATCATAATTGAGCAACCATTAGTACTCTATGTTGACTTTAAGGATAAGAGCCATTCATTAACCTCCTTTACTACACATTTTAGGAGAGAACCCTTCAAATCATGGTAACTTGGTCCCTTGAAACTAGGTCACATAGATGTGACAACATCCCACATTGGCAAATAGTATGTTGAATGTATAGCATTGAAAGGCACATTAGCATCATACCACCATCTAGCAATAGCCATTCTAGCAACTTCTTATTTTTCTCTTGATTGCAAAGCATTTTTTTATAGTTTTTTGGGCTCCATAAGTTATCTTTGGTGCAAAATATGAATTAATATTCTTTTCCCTTCATGCTACATGTGATTGAGATTGAGGGCTCTCTTCAATCTCATGATCATCATTAATAAGTATTTGTGAACCACATTGACTCCCAACCGTATCCCCAAGTCTCTTTCTCTTTTTGTTCCCTTTTCTTATCTCATTTAACAATTGTTGCATTTGCCACTTCACATTTGCTGAAACTTTTGGCAAGCACCAACATTACCTTTGACTCCAGCAAAGTGCTCTTTCAATCGAGTAATTCCACCGCCTTGTATGAGCTTATCACAATATAGGCATTTTGTTTGATTCCTTTTGTCTGGAATAATCAAACAATGGGCCTAAGTAGGATCATTTGTTTTAGAAGCGGTAGATGCAACAGAGTCACCACTACCAGTACTTGAACCACTAGTATTCATAATGATATTCTACAAAGACAATCACCAAGGAAAAAAACAAAGAATTACACAACAAAAATTAAATGAAAAATAATAGGGCAAGCCTATGAATCAGAAACTGCAAAGAAATACACCATGAGAAAAATCGAGAAAAATGCATTCAAAATGCAGAGAAATAGAAAAGGAATAACATCACCCACTACCAAACACACACACACAATCACCCACTGCCACACAAATGTTTCATCATTAATGAATTGAAAAATGTGTAGAGAATAATGTGTAGAGAATAATGTATGCAATCATCCACTACCAATTGAAAAATCGCAAAATTGCCAAACTGTTGATTGTATATTTTTAATTGCAAATTGTAAAATGCAAAGAAATAAAAAAGGAAGAACAATCACCCACTGCAAATTGAAAAACTGTAAAATTGAATTTGAATAAAGCATGCCAGGAGAAAAAGCCAGAAAAATGCATGCAAATTACAAAATGCAAAGAAATAGAAAAGCAATAACAATCACCCACTACCAAACACATACACAATTGCCCACTGTCGTTGGCAAAAAAACTTCAAAACCCCTAAGATTCTGAAATTTTAAATTGAAAAAGAAAAGGAAGAAGAATTCATACCTGAGATACAAAGCTAAGCTGTTGGAGAGTGGTGACAAGATCGTGAAACAAGAAATGGAAAGAAAAGCAGTGGCAGTAAAGCATTCACCAAATCACCAGCTCACCGATGATGAATTAAGGACAAGGTTTGTCATTAGTGAAGAAGGAGAAGAGCAGAGATCTACAATCTGAAATTGCAAGGCTAATAAAAAAACCCCTAGCCAAAACGAAGTGTTCATCAAATCACCAACCCACCGGCGACGTGCTGAGGGCGAGGTGCATCATTTGTGAGGAAGGAGAAGAACAAAAACAAAGATCTACAATCTAAAATTGCAGAGTTAATCGAAAAACCCCTTGCCAAAATGAAGCATTCACCAAATCACCAACCCACCAACGATGTATTAAGGACAAGGTTTATCGTTCGTGAGGAAAAAGGAGAATAGAAACAGATCTGCAATTTGAATTTCTAAAATCGCTAAGGAATCCCTCTTTTTTTCTTTTTCTTTTTAAGTTTGGACTTAAGGTATACCGATCATATTTCAATGTACTAGCTTGTACACCAAATTTCGGCTGTTACACCAAAATTTAACCAAAATTTTCGATATTTGATCGAAATAGAATTTAAGATTGTACTGTTTCGATCAATTGAAAAAAATCAGTACATATCGGTCATACTGGTCGGTATGAAATGGTATAGACAACAATGCTTATGAGTCACTTTTGGATGGGGCGATACTCCAAACAAGGGAGTTAACATGTTGCTAAGGCTGGTGAGGAATTGTGGGGTGAGCTGGGTTTAATAAGTTGATGAGGGGATCATTGAGGTTGTCTTTAGTTAGTAGTTGCGTGAGTCCTAGATGGAACACTCCGAATTGCTGTTGCATGGTATTAAGTTGAGTAGTTAT